ATAAACCCATGGGTATGGATTAGGGTTAACCCATGACCCTTGGAATTCTACATATAAATATGTTGCTCCATGATCAAAATCGTGCGCATCTATTCTTAGAGAACTATGAGCCGATTTTGTGTGAAAGGAATACTCTCTCAAAATGTCATTCTTTGTCCTAGATGTGTTGTGATTCCATTTGAGGCATTCACACTATTGGTGCTAAGTTCTTAAAGGCAAAATACATCAAGGATAGCAAGCTACAACAAAAGGTATGTTATCTAACCTGTTTTATTACCCAAGTATCAAAGTTTTGTATTAGTTAGGGTAATACCTTGGAAAAAGAAAGTTTGCATGTATAATAGAGAAAAAATAGATCCAAGGTATTTAGGGTTGCATGTACACCTTAGGAGTGTTAGAATGCTTAAAACCCATCAATTACCTCTTAGACGTTCCATTAGAGTTAGAATGCGACCTGAGTTATATGGTTTCCATATTACTTCAGATGGTGATACATTTATTAGTGATAGTACACTGGTAAATTTGGATGAACCTGCTAACTAAAAGGACGCAATGGTAGGCCCTGAGGCGACCCGATGGAAAGAGGCCATGGACAGCGAGATCAAGTCCATGTATGACAACCACTTTGGAATTTGGTTGATAATGTACCAAGATGTAAGAAAATTAGGTGCAAATGGATGTTCAAGAAGAAGACTGACATGGATGGAAAGGTACTCACTTTCAAGGCTCGACTGGTTGCGAAGGGATTTACTCAATCCCCAGGGGTTGACTATGAAGAGACCTTCTCACTAGTGGATAAGACAAAATCTATTAGGATAATGCTCGCCATAGTTGCATTTCATGACTATGAAATTTGTCAGATGGATGTCAAAACCGCTTTCCTTAATGGGAAGTTGGCTGAGGATGTTTACATGAGTCAGCCAGAGGGTTTTGTTGATGCAAAGTTTCCCAACAGAGTGTGCAAGCTTGAGAAATCAATCTATGGATTAAAAAAAGCTTCTCGCAGATGGAATCTTGGATTTGACAAGAAAGTCAAGGAGTTTGGTTTCTCCACAAGTGAAGATGAGTCTTGTATATATTTCAAAGCTAGTGGGAGTATAGTAACCTTCCTGGTATTGTATGTTGATGGCATACTTCTTATAGAAAACGACATTCCAACTTTGCAAGAGGTTAAGTCTTGGCTTGGAAAGTGTTTCGCTATGAAGGATCTAGGAGAGCTCGCCTATATTCTAGGGATAAGAGTTCTGAGAGTCAGGAGTAAAAGAATAATGGGACTTAGTAAGAGTACATACTTGGAAAATGTGCTAAAACGTTTTCGTATGGAAAATTCCAAAAAAGGAGAACTGCCTATACAGATTAATACCAAACTAATTAAGACTCAGAGCTCGAGTACCGATGCAGAGATAGCAGAAAATAGTAGAGTTCCATATTCTTCCGCCGTTGGATATATCATGTATGAAATGGCATTTACTCGCCCTGATGTGGCCTGTGCTTTGAGCATGGTCAGTCGTTATCAGGAAAATACAGGTAGAGCTCGTTGGATAGCAGTTAAGAATATTCTCAAGTATCTGCAAAGGACTAAGGACTGGGTCCTAGTACTTGGTGGCAGTGATACATCGAGAGTAACTGGGTATAGTAACGCCAGATTTCAAACATACAAAGACAACTTCTGTTCTCCATCTTGCTGGGTGTTTATCTTAAATGGAGGAGTGGTAACCTGGAAAAGTTCCAAACAAGAGACAGTGGCTGATTCCACCTGTGAATCAGAGTACATAGCAGTGAGCGAAGCATCAAAGGAGGCAAATTGGTTGAAAAAATTCATCAGAGACCTTGGAGTTGTTCCAGCCATCAAGGAGCCAATGAAATTTTTTTATGATAACGAAGGAGCAGTTGCCTTGACAAAGGAACCAAGAGATCATGACAGATCAAGACATATCGACAGAAAATACCATTTCATCAGACATAGAGTAGAAGAAGGTCACCTTGTAGTGAAGAGGTTTCATCAGAAGAGAATCCTGCAGATCCCCTCACAAAGGGTCTGAGTAGGGTCGAACACATTCAACATGGTAGGAGCATTGGTATGAGCTATGGCATTAGTTTTAGCAGTTAGATAGTTAGTTGAAACTTGTAACAAAGTAAATGTAATTGACTTTTGGTGATTAAATAATATAGAGTTATTTATGAGTTTGTTTACTACCTTTTGTCTATTGTTTATTCTTGTGTTTCATTTTGCATGTTTTACTTACCGAATAATATGATTATTCAAACTCCACAGTCGATCATACTTTTGGAAGTAGTAAATTAAGACTGTCATGAATTCGATTGTAGATTGTCTAAAGGGTTTTAGACATAGCAAAGGTATTGCTGCAATGTTCATGAGTACTATGAAATGGATATTTAAGCATTAGATTAACCCACACTCAGAGAAATACTTCATGGAGTTTATCATGAGTAATCCTGAGACGATAACATCTTATAATCTTGAAACAGAGATACATGAATTGTGGCTTACAAGTCAGCTGTGCATTGATGTTACGTAAATGCATCAGTAACTTGATGTTATAAAACATATAGTTATGCATTATTTGATGAGTAAATGGAGCAAGCATATAAGTCAAAGTTTATTCGTTCCTTTTACCTTAACGGGAAAAGCGATATCTTTGGGCCCCTCGGTGATTTGGTGTTGAATTATAGTGTCGAGGACTAAATTGATGTGTTCGATTAGAAGTTCTATGTCATTACAAATCAGAAATAGGGAAACAAAATATTGGACAATGAGATTGATTCTAGTGCATGTCTCATGTCCGGATGATATCTTGTAGAATGGAGGATTCTATGATCACTTATCTTAGGACACGTAACTGACTGGGTCAGAGTTTAACAACATCGTTTGGAAGCTATAATTTGCAGATCAATTTAAAAGTTATATTGGAAATTATAGATACAAACTGCCAAGTGGGAGGCTGTTGGATTAGGTGTCTAAGCCCATAACTATAATTGGTATCAACTTGAATTGATTGTAGCACAATCCTTTTGGGTTGCCCTCAAACCTAGCAATTGGACAAGATATTTTTGAAAGAGAGGTTGATTTATTATTTGATAAATAAATTGAAATAAATAATTTGATAATATATTATGAAAACAATATATTAATTAGAAATAGTAATATTTAATTAATATTTAATCATAAATTAATTGGAATTAATTTTGTGATTAAAAGAATTAATTAAAAGTGCAGGGACTAAAGTGTAATTGTTCAATAGTTAAACAAGAGGCATTATTGAACCTCCTTGGAGCCTTGGACGGTTTTTAGGTGGGGTTTAGGGTTCTAGAATTATCCTTGGTGGATAATTAGGAAGCTGGATAATTACCCAATTCAAGATAATATTATTATATTAGGTTTGGGATTATCTAGGGTTTCCTTGCTACACTATATAAAGAGGCTAACCCCTAGCATTTTCGACAATCATAATTCCCCAAGGGTTGGCCGAAACTTTGATCTCCTCCCTCCTTTCTCCTCAATACCCTTCTTGCTTGTGTTGGGTGTGTACCACTAGAGGCACGACGCTTATGGTGCTTGCTTCCAAAAGAACGAAAAAAGGGATTCTTGGTTGTTTACTTCAACAATCAGTAAGGTTTGTATTCTTACTAATGAATTCAAGTTTGAATAGGAAAATTTTGTTGATTGATAGTTCATAGTACGTTGCCTTTATGTGAAAGACATAGATCCTTCTTAGGTTGCATGTGTCCTAATCATTTAAATGTTAAATGTTTTTCGCTTAGAGCATTGTTTTTGTAACCTCCATAACCCATCATAAACTACAAAATCTGTTGTCGATATGATTGTCGAAGTTGGTTGGTTGTGACGAAGGTGGTGGTGGCGGAATAGTTGAAGTTTCGATAGGAGATGCCAAATTCTCCTCACCCATTGTAACATTTAAGTCCTTATTAGATAAGTTCTTAGTGATTTTTGAAGACCTACCCTCCTCCATATTGGGCATGGAAATAGGAACTCTGGGTGGAGTTACATCAGTCTTCTCAGTAAGCGAAGTTGAAATTGGTTCACCAGAATCGATGTTTGTATCCATATTAGATGCGTTTACAGTGATGCCAGGATTGCTTGTCTCCTCGATATGGGATTTAACAATGGCATCCTTTCATGGTGAAACATGGAACATCTGATCATTAGTGCCAAAAACTTCATCTTCAGTCTCTTCAATATCATGAATCGCTTCAAAAGTATTTGGTATTGACTAGGCTTTGGTAGAAGGCTCTTCGACTATCTGTTCCCTAAGCTTCTTAAATGCTTCAACAACCCAGCAGTTGTTCGTTTCCTTTTCTTTTGTGCCTCTTCATCAATAATTTCTTTAATAACACCTCCAGAGGTTTTGGACTTTGACTTCAAATTCTTTGAAATATTAACAACAATCTCAAGAACAGAAACCTATTTAACAACCTCTTTAACAACCTTCACATAAACAATTAGGACTTCCTTCTCAGATGCACCTTGAACTGTTTTCTCAGTAACATCTTTTGCCGCCTTCTTAGAACCATTTTTCACAGACTTCTCAGAAATAGTCTTTGTAGAAACAATTTTATCAACAACAACTTTGGGCTTCGATGTTGACTTCTTTTTGAAAACATCGTAATCTTTAGATGTTCCTTCTGTGGCCTTAAATGTCACCTTCATTGGAATAGGAATAGATGAAGTAAGACCCATTGAAGCTTTGTACTGAATCAACAACAAATTTGATTCAGACACCAAGTTTAACATTGCCTCAGGAATCCTTTCAACGACATGAAAAACAATTGGATCATCAAGTGAAAAATTAGGAATATGAAGATGTGAAAATTGAGCAACCTCAGCATCTTCAGGAACTAGAATTCCTGCTTAACTATATGTTTCATGTAAAATAAGTCTCCAAAATCAAGCACTAGATATTTCAGTAGTCTTCTTCGAGTGCTTACCATATGTGGTTAACTAACCCCATAACGGCAAAGCATAATCAACCTTCATCACATAGTATAACCCCGCCATAAGTGAATATAACTGAAGTTTTGCATTGTCTAGACCATAACTCCTTCTAATTAAACATCGAAGGGTAATTCCAAAGAAAAAATTCCACACACCAGGAATATTTGATTTCTTAAATCTGCTAACCATAGAAATAAAAGGCTGATAATCCATTTCATTAAACATTTGAAGTACTTGTTCAGACGTAGGAACTTCAAATGACCCTATCGATGGTAGTTGAAGGATTTGGGCAAACTACTTATTATGTAATCTCTTGTTTCCTTTGGATTCCATCTGAAAGTTAACAACATCAACCGTATTATTGTATATTGCGGTAGTAGCAACAAGTGATAACCAGTTTATCAAAATAGAAAACGATGCAGTTAGAGCATGATCAAGTATAAAATCATTCGAAAATTGAACCAACATCTTCAATTCTGCTGGATAATCTTCAATCAATGAATTAAACCATACATTGTTAGATTGAATCTTCATATTAGGCATAGAAAATTCGTCTTCAGTTGTGTTGAATTGATCGAAAACAGTACTTGTAGTAGACATGTTGATCGAGATGATATATTTTGATTATGATTAGAAAGTAGGGTTAGGGTTCTTGCGTAAATGTCGGGAATCAGAAAGATTAAATTGTATCACGAAGTCATATTTTATAATCAGCGTCAAATTCAAATTAAAACCAAGATCCAATGAAGAATCGCCACATGTAAAGTAAGTAACTTAACCGACACTAACCCCATCCTCCATGTGTACATGTAATAAGTACTTTTCTCGATCCATGATAAAGCACCTAGAACTTCACATCCCAAAGGTTACTTCATGATCACCAATAGAATCGAACAATCGCCATGCTTCAAAATTTTCCACGGACCCGACATCGACAGTTAAGGTTGGCCTTATTCACTAATGGATATAATAAATGAATTCATAAGCCAGACTTTTCGAAATCTTGGTACGGGTTGGTAATATACAAAACCTTGAGGATTTCAGTGCCAATGTGTTGTAACATCCCAAAAATTAAGACTAAAAATTTCGATTTTTAATTTAATAAAACCATAATCCCAAAACATCATCACAAAACCAGAGTGGAATAAAGTGTATCAACTACATCATAAAAAAATAGATTAATCATAAAATGCGGAACGAGGTGGTGTGTGCACATCAATCATCTCGGGCTCTTCCCTTTTAAACCAGAAGTACCTGAAACATAAAATGAAAACCATAAGCACAAAGCTTAGTGAGTTCCCAATAATACCACATACCATACATATCAAACATATAATGGGCTCTGCCCATCATTGGGCCCCGCCCGAAATCGAGCCCTACCCGGTATCGAGCCCCGCTCAGTATACAAATATGTCAGTCATCAGGCCCGCCTGGCAATGGGCCTCACCCGGTATACATATAAAAAATAACATATAACCTTACAAACACATGCAATAATCATAAAGATAAAATCATACAAGATAGTCATCGAGCCCCGCCCGGCATCTGGTCCCGCCCGGTAAACATATAACCACATATCCCATGAAAGAGTCACACATACAACTAGCATCGTAAACATAACAAACCATGGGCCTGCATTAGTTCCTTCCCACTAAACAGACTGAGGAAACACACCTCTAGCTGCTGAAATACTCAAATGAATCTCTGTCTGCTGGTCCGGAAATCCCCGCGTTATCATTATAAAAATAATATCTAATTAATAATTGGATATTAGCCCTAAACCAGGAATCTAAGCTAATCAGCCCTAAACCAGTAATCTAAGATAATTAGCCCAAATCCTAAATGGTTACTCAAAGCCCAAAATGGCCCAAAATACTAGTCAAATCCCATATCAGAAGTCTAAAGGGCCTACAAGGCCCAAACTTAGAAAGTCCAAACTATGGCCCAATACCGAGAGCGTCAAGCCCAAAAGCCCATCTGCTGAGTATATGGGGCGTACTTAGCTCGTACACTTAGCGTACTCCTTCCGGGGTCAGTGTGCGCAACGCACTAGCTGGGTACACCCAACGTACTCCCCAGTACACCATTCCATTCTATTAAGCAATAATCGATTGAGACCTCAAGCCAAACTCTCAGATCTGGTCCTAAGGGTGACTTATCACGTAAAGTTGGAAACTTTACACCTATGCATGACTTTAATGAGACTCAAGGCTCAAAAAGAGCTTAATGAAGGTCTTAATACTTGCATGACCCAATAACATCAATAAAGTTTCCATTTTTATGAACTATGAGCCTCATTAGAGCTAAGATCTAGCATCTACGACTTCTAGAGTAGATCAAAAGCTCAACTTTAACACAAAAGACTTCAAAATGCACATAGGACTTCATAAAATGAATCTAACACAAACGATCATCAAGTTGTGAGCTTTTTACCCCAAAAATCTTGCAAATGAGAAGGTAATCCTGGATCCACAAGCTCAAGCTACTCCTCCAAGGGTTCCTCTTCTTCTTCTTCACCACAAAACACCAACAAATCACTCTCAAGCTCAAAAACTCACCAAATGCTCTTAGGGTTTTGTTTTCAGGGTAAAAGGAGGTGGAGACTAATCAATAATGTCCATGGGGAGAGTTAGAGTAGTTTAAATAGGGAGCAAACCCTAAAAATTAGGAATTGCATCTGCACCATGTATGCCATGCATAGTCAGCGTACGAACCACGTAGGTGGAAGGAACCCGCGATCATCAATTGCGCTAGTACACTAAGCGTACTTCTAGAGTATGTTATGCGTGCTAGCTAAAGGACCAAAATGCTACAAATTTTCATTAAAGGGGCTAAAAGCAAAATTACCAAAACTTGAATGTTACAATTCTCTCCCAATTGAATCAGACTTCGTCCCTGAAGTCCGCTGCCCTAAATAACTCTAGGTAGTGCTCCCTCATCTCGTCATTAGGATCCTACATCCAAAAGCGGAGTGATCATGGTCATCCTCAAACAAATATATCTGATCGGCGCCGCAACTACCTTCGGTTAAGAGCATCGGCAACCACATTGGCCTTCCCTGGATGTTAAAGGATCTCATAATCGTAATCCTTCACCACGTCTAACCACCGACACAGCCTCATATTTAGATTCGGCTTATCCATCAGATACCTCAGGCTCTTGTTATCCGTGTAGATAGTAAAACGGAGGCCATAAAGGTAATGTTACGAAATCTTGAGGGAAAAAACATAACCCCTATCTCTAAATCATGCATCAGATAATTCGCCTCATGAGACTTCAGCGACCTTGAAGTGAAAGAAATCACACGACCCCTCTGCATCAGAACTGCACCCAGACCCGTGATTGATGCATCACAATAAACCATAAAATCCTCGACACCCACTGGTAAGGTCAAAATCGATGCCTCACACAATCTCTATCTCAGGGTCTCAAAAGCTGCGTGCTGCTCAGGCCCCCAACAGAAAGTAACAATCTTCTTCATCAATCGATTTAGAGGAACCGCTATCTTGGAGAAATCCTGAATGAATATCCGATAGTAACCCGCTAAGCCAAGGAAACTATGAATCTCAGATGGAGACCTCGGAACCTCCCACCACATCACATCCTCGACCTTCACATAAAGTCTCTCCCTCCTCAAAGTCTCCAAAACCTCTTTCAGGCACTCCTCGTACTGCTCCTGGGTCTTGGAATAGACCAGGATATCATCAATGAATACAATCACATACCGATCCAACATCAGCCTGCATATGCTGTTCATGAGGTCCATGAATGCAGTTGCAACATTGGTGAGCCCGAAGGGCATCACCACAAACTCATAATGACCATAGCGAGTCCGGAAGGCCATATTCTGAACATCCTCCTCTCTGACCCTCATGTGATGGTAACTATTTTGGTCAAAAAATGACCGAGTGAATCTCAACTAAATTGTATGAGAGGGTGTGATGTTCAACAAAAAATAAGTACAAAATGATGATCAAAGTGACACAAGTGGTTTACAAGGCAAGCCCTTGATCCTTGCTAGGATCTCCGACATAAAACCTTGGGATGTGATAATGATCACCTGCCTTGTTTGATCTTATTGATTTGAACATAAATTATAGATATGAGCTTGAT